CACACACACAGATCTGTCTGTTGGAATTCCAAGATCTGTGCCTGGGTTCAAACTTCAAACCCCAGTAAGATATAAATGTGTGTGTTGTCAGGGAGTTAAGTTTTCAAAAAGAAACTTGCGAACGATCCCAGGACAAGATGGCAAACGTCCTTACCTTCTTTCGCTTTTTTTACCATCAAGACAAATGTCCTTCCCATCAAGACAACGGGCCTCGCTCCATTACTCTACTTTGGACATGTACCTGGAGTGACTATTGACCGCACACATTCTGACTGGTCTAACATTTGAAGTCTATTGGGACCATTTTCACTTTCAGATACATTTCAAATGTTGTGCAGTAGAGCCATTTTCAAGAAGATTAGCATGGCCACTGAGAAAGGATGACACCCGTAAATTGAGACGCCAGAAAAAAAGGGTCACCCCGATCACCATAAAAAAGGACCAGCTGAGGAAAGTGAGGGTGATAGAGATGGAGTTCACGATATTTGCTCCAGCAACGGACATTCAGAATCTGGAGATCGACCCAGTTGAGTGGGCCTGGAATCTCAGGAGAAGCGTACTAGGCATAACGAGAAGAACTAACATACTTCACTGCACAACCAGGCTAGGCTACAGACTCAGGAAGCGCTCATCTCCATTAGCCGAACCCTTGGCACTTAGATGGGTGAAGAGAATGCAGGTACCGAAAGAAAAAGTGGCAAGATTACCATGGTCATCCTTACATCAGATCCGCTTAAGCAGGGTTAGGAGTTTGCAGTGGCTGATCTTCCACGTGGCAGTCCCAGTCAATTCGTGGCTTTTGAGCGCCGCAGTCAACACCATCGCGACCACACCTGTCGACAGTGCACACAATGGACGAAAGGAGCACTGGAGACTCCGCGTCACTGTCTCCTTTCCTGCCCGGAAGCAGTGCACCTATGGGATGAAGCCAGGACGCTCTGGGGCAAAATAACGGAATCCCCTTTCCCCGAGGGTTAGGAGACGCTTCTGATAGGAAGTGACCTTCCTGCAGCTTGGCATCAGTTCCAAAAGCGCACATTCCAGCTTATAAGGCAATATGTACTGTGGACAAGATGGAAGCGCAGATGCCAGCAGGCCATCTGAAACAAGCAAATGCACATGCGGGAAGCGAAGGAGACACTCTACAATCTGGTGGAAATGGACATATGGGCTCAATGGAAGGGAATCCGTAAGCAGGCCCAGCAAAACCCACTGCAAGCCAAGGACCCAATGGAGAATTTTCATAAAAGGGTCTTGGTTCAAGGTAGGCTAACAACAGTGGAAGGCTCGACGTTGAGCTTCCATTGCTTTGAAAGGTAGATAAGTTTAAGAAGACATAGCTAGGGTTTAGGGTTTAAGTAGAAGTAATTAAAAGTATNGATAAGTTTAAGAAGACATAGCTAGGGTTTAGGGTTTAAGTAGAAGTAATTAAAAGTATAGGTAGGATAGCAACACTGGAAGGCTCGACGTTGAGCTTCCATTGTTCTGAAAGGTAGATAAGTTAAGCTAGGGTTTAGGGTATAGGAATTTAGTAGTTTCGTTTCTTCCCGCATCGGGTCCCTCGCGGGTCTCGTCAAAAGCATAACACTGGGTAAGGCTCCCAGGTCCGGTCTGTATGTGGGGTGGCCGGCCCCTTTTGGTTTAATAAGATGGATTGTTTAAAAAAAAAAAAAAAAAGTCAATCCACAGCCCTCATCCACCCTCTCCACTCACTGTTGCACCCTCATTTGCCAAGACGCCACAAATACCTCCTTGCAAATACTCTCTCTGCAAACGCACGGTCATGGATCATCACAATCCGACGCCCTTCAACAAAAACTCTAATATGCATTCACCTGCTGCAGCCTGTCAACCATTCCCCCCGGCGAGTGCTCCTTAAGGACTAGGATATGAAGAAGCCTAAGGCACTGGGCTTATAACCTTGAGCAGATGGATCTTTCTCAATCGATTGTTGTACATGAAAACACACTTGCATAATGAAGGCCTGACCACCATGAACCATGCTTGTGAAAAATGTGGATCACTCAAACCTTGAAACAGTGAAAGTCAAGTTCCTGGAATATATGGCCCCACTGCGACATGGATTGTTGATTGTCCACGACCAATTGTGTCCATCCTCTGATCAACCACCATACTCCACAAGGACATAACTCATGGCATTGAGCATGACCATTCGCAAGCACTATCACTGTTCGATGTGCCATCTTGCAGTGCATTATACCATTCCTGTCCGAGAGAAGGTTAACGGAGACCCTAATTTTCAGACCACTTGCCATGCCATTTATATGAAAACCAAAGGGTCATTTTAATCAAACTTGCCACCAATTCGTAGAGTAGATCCCGTTAACCATTTGTGTCCTGTCCTGGCTTCATATAGGGTACCTACTCCCAATTGTGGAATATAATGCATGGTGCATGGTACTTGCTCCCATCTTGCACTGTCCACGAGCAATTGTGTCCATCCTCTGATCAACCACAAGCACCATGCATTATCACACGGTCAATGACCTCACTTTCAGTTCAATCATCTCATCCGACTTGTAAAAGATCGAAAGATCGAAACCAAAAAAAAGAGAAAGTGAAGAATATCCTCACCTTTCCTTCAGGTCGCGTTGAAAAGAAATGGTCCACAGCATAGAAAAATCTTTCACCTGTCGTGGGTTTTCTCTTATACCACTCCTGTCCTGGCTTCATATAGGGTACCTGCTCCCAAGCTCCAATCCCCACAAGCAGAATGCATCCCAAATCCCATGTTTGTTAGAAAATTACTATGAACAAAGATCCCGATGTTGCTCTCTATGTTCATTAACCCATGTAAAGATCCCTGATGATTTTCTGTTTGTTTTTGTATGAATGTACAATCTTATACATATCCCACTTGAAGTACAAAATGCTTCACTCTCACAGTTTTGTGTGTGCCATTCGGCTTTGTGCTGCCACAGACTCCACATGACATTGCAGCGCGAACAGGTGGAAAGTTGATGCCTCTCACCGCATGTAGACATTGGCCTACATCAGACTTCACATGTTCAGTAGAACCAGAATTTGGCTAATCCTTTTAGGACTGGGTAGGACTATTTGCAATCAGACTTGTTTTCAAACACACTTTTCATGCATGTAAACAGCAACGCAGCATACTGGCGACATGCGCCCACTCAAAACTCAGAGATATGGCTTTCAGATACGAGTTCACTCTCAATTGGCTATGGCGACTTCAGCGCCCAAACATCTCACGGTTCACATA